GGCATTCGCGAGAGTGCACTTATAAGGATTTTTCTAATGCCAAACCCAGGACCTTTAATGGGAATGGGGGAGTTATGGCACTAAGGCAGTGGATAGAGAAGACAGAAGCAATTTTCGAAATCTGCTCCTTTCCGGAGGGTAGCAAAGTTAAATTTGTTGTCTGTACTTTTTCAGATAGGGCCCTAACGTGGTGGAATGGCTACATTAAGTCACTTACTCTGGTAGTGGCTAACTCTATCAGCTGGGAGAGCCTAAAAGCCATGTTAATGCGGGAATACTGTCCGCGAGGGGAAATACAGAAACTGGAGCAAGAAGTATGGGGTCTTACAATGGTTGGTTCTGACATATCAACCTATACCAGTAGGTTCTGTGATCTGGCAATTCTTTGTCCGGATATGGTTCTTATGGAGAGCAAAAAGATTGAGAGATATATTTGGGGTATGTCGCCCCAAATTCAGTCAAGTGTTTTAGCTTCAAAGCCTATTACTTTTGACAGTGCCAAAGAGCTGGCACAATCTCTTATCGACCACGGAGCCCGTCAAAACTCTGTGGTTTCTGCTCCAGAACAACCCAAGGAGAACAACAACAACAGCAAGAAGAGGGGTTGGAACAAGAGGAAGGGCAAATCTCCTCTGGAACCTGCAAAGAAGCAACAAGTAGTGGCAGTCCATGCTACTACTGTACCTGCTACCATACCCGCTATTGTACCTGCTGCTGTCCCTAATAACCTTGCACCAACTAAGCCCTATGCTGGTACCCTCCCTAAATGCAACAAGTGCAATTTTCACCACAACGCAATTTGCCGAGAAATGCAGTGCCGTAACTGTATCAATGGGTCGAAGGCACCAAGGTCGGCCTATTATTTGTGATATAGGTTGTTAGCTATATTTGAGATATGTGCATGAAAGACCAGGATTTGGCCCCTGGAAACTGTATGAAAGACTAGGATTTGGCCCCTAGCAATTGTATGAAAGACCAAGATCTGGCCCATGGTAATTGTCTGTAAGACCGGGATTTGGCCCTCGGCAGAAAATTGCTTGTAAGACTATGGTTTGGCCCATAACACTATCTTATTTATGATTAGTATGTGGTACTTTGGGGAAACTCACTAAGCTTTTTCTTACATTTTGTATTTATGTTTTCAGGTACTTCTGGTACTAAGGGGAAGAGCCCGGCGTGATGGCACATCATTTTCCCCTCACCATTTTCCGCACTTACTGATATTATTACTCTGATGATTTAACATTGTTATTATGTAATGGGTTTTGGAACAATATAATGACTGTATTTCTTATTTAAAAATGAAAAAACTTATCCTGGTTTTTGGGTTGTTACACTACGAGATCTTCAACTCTCATTTAGATAGTTTCGGCTAACAATCAACCGATTTCTATTTCGATTTTTGTGTCGCATAAGGTTGCGCTGAAACTTCTAAAAATCGTAACTTCCTCCTACAAAGTTAGATTTAGGTGTTCTTTATATGCATACGCTCGCTTTTTCGATTACTACGACTTTAATCAAGGCTATTTATCTTAAATAGTCATCTTTCCAAAAACATCTATTTATATAACTGGTCGTTTATATTGTAAGGAAAAAATGGGGTGTTATAATTTTTGAATTTGTATGAGGGACCAGATTTATGCATGGGGCATTCCCTTGCATAGTCGTCAATCTCTCCACATACGTGACACTTTCGGTTTTCTTTTGTTGGTTATGTTGATAGTTGGTCTTCTTGAACTCCTTCTTCTAAGGAGTCAAGCCTTTCTTGTTCTTGAACCCACTCTTACCCTTTTGGCTATAACCCCCACCAGACACATGTTGCACACTCGATCCAACTTTACCCCTTTTGTCCATGTTTCATGTTTACTCCTCGATCCAGAAGTGCTTCAACAGATCCTCCTAGGAGTAGTCCTCGGATTTGTGCATTATCCTCTTTGATACGTCTTTCCAAGACTCTTTGGGATCTGTGACTGGCACGTACAAATCATAGAGGCAGTCAGAGAATGAGTTCTTAATATGACCAAAACACAAGTGTTTAGACTCTCTACGTAGAGCCCTCAACTTCTTCGCTTCATAAATTTCTTTCTGATCTGGCAGTTGTCCCTCTACGAGGATCAGATCAGCTGGAATAGCCAGTAATTCGGGATTCAGAACATGGCCAAGCTTCAACACAGCGAGCAAAATCTTGACTTTGTCAGTCCAACGAGTGTAGTTTTGACCGTCGAAACGATCCAGTTTGACAAACTCTTGGCTCATAAGTCGAAAGTTAGTAGAAGAGATCTCAAAGTCCATTAGGTCTCAATATTTTAATCACATTATAATAACCTTTAAGATTGTTGTGAATCAGATCCAATAGACACGCAAGGAAACCGATAAATAATATTAAGAATTATATGTCGATTAGTTGTGAATAATAAATCCAATTATTATTAATATAATTACCAAGTTTCATCAAGAAACTAGATCGATCCTTCGCGATCAGATTGATTATAAGAAAGAAGTAGAATTAGATTATCTCATTATCAGACGAAATTAAAAAAAATAGTTAAAGTAAAACGAACCTCGTAGCAACTGATGTTGATTCTTGTTGACTGTATGGAGATGAAGAAGCTTATGTCCTTAAATGTTTTACGTCGCTCTAAGGTTGTAACTTCAGCTTAAACAATCAATATTTGATGCAGTTTATTTATCGTTCCAACATCTATGGAAGAGGAATAAACGCAAAGTGATTACTCGAAAAATAAAAAAACCTACATTTTACAGTTGCTAAAAATCGCATAGAGAGAGAGAGAGAGGAGATAATGAATTTTCTAGAACAAGGAATACGACTCTAGGAGAGTTGTATTTATAGTTGTAGAAACCATACAAGGCTGCAAAAAACCCTCTATGGTCGGTCCCTAGAAACCCTAGGCTATGCCTTGCTCTTTAACTAAGACGTTGTTAGATGCATAATATATGCATCTTTTAGCACAGTTTTCTCGATATTTTCCTACAAAAAATCTACTATCTCCCTTGTATTGATATAATTTGCGTACTTCTCATTATATTTACAGAATAGCCATACTACTCACTTTTGTTATAATTTTCAGGGCAAATTGGAGCACAACGAGAATACGACACTTTAAGGATGCGTTTGATGGAGCATTGGAGCCAAATTGGAGTTGGAACTGAAGAATGACGTTGAAGAATGACTGGACGCTGCTCAAATGGAAGCATTACGAGCAAACCGCGACAAAGAAGGAAAATGCGATCGCATAAGTATGTCGAAGATTTCTGGACTCGTGAAATTAAACTGAAGAAAAACTTGAAAAATGCGATCACAGAAAAAAATGCGACCATGGATATATAAAAAGGCAATCGCATTTGTTCTCGATGACTCAAAAGGTTCAGAAATAGCAACGTACTTAATTTAAGTGGCCCAAGACGCGTTTTGACCAAAAATACGATCGCATTTCCCATATATGCGATCCCAGAATATTTCGGATTCCTACTAAGCCTATAAATAGAGCCCCATAACTCTTCGGACTTCGATTAACCCTAATTGCGATTCCAGATGACAGAGAGACGATTTGCTGAAGATTCAAAGTGCCAAACGAAGATATGAAGAACACAATTCGATTTGTATCATTAGTTTAGTAAGATTTATCAGTTAGAACTTAATTTCATCTTTTGTAATTCGTTTATAGCCATGACATGCTAAACCCTTGATTTCAGATTCGCAAAAGACTCGATTTTTCATGCAAGTAATCATTAAGCACGATTTTTTTATTGTGTTTACTGTTAACTTTGATCAGTTTTATGCTTAATTGAACGTTTGATTTGGATTCAATTTCTGTTGGTCACTTTAATTTGAATCATTTCAGTTATATGATTGTCTAGATTCGTAATTGTCTTTATTAATCAGTAAAAGTAACGGATATTAGATTGATTCCGTGTTAGGATTAACTCTCATATAAACTGATCAGACAAGTGTTTACGCTTCCGAGCTTGTGAGAAGTATTGGACTTTACTGGAAATTTTACACTGTGTCTAATGCTACTTTTCTTAATTAATTAAGAGTTTATTTAGTTAATTTAGTAAAAAGTAAGGTTTAATTCAAAGAGCTTGTTTTGGTTAAACATTTTAGCAAAAGAAAATTGTTAGAGTTTATTATTGATTTTCAGTACCAGTTTAGACAGCACACAATTCAATAATTGTGTTAAAGTTATTTGCATGATTAGGAGAGTCACCGCGAAATTGAAATTGCTTTTACCTTTTGAATTTTACTCAAGTATTTTAATTGCGTTTTCTTCTATAAATCTCAAGTATTTTAATTGTGTTTCCTTCTATAAATCTCTGTCAAATTAGTGTGTGCCTTAAGTAAGAGATGCATAGACCTTAAGGCGTGTCCATGCGGATTCAATCATGCTTTCTTGTACTACCTCCTAGTGCATTTGAACAATATTTTTATTCATATTATTTACTTGTTTAGACGTTGCGATACGCTCTTACAGACGTTTTCTAGGCCTTTCAAAAAATTTCATCGTAAATCTTGGCGCGACCCAACTATCGCAACGCGAAATCCACAAACCGGGTCGATCCAACTCGACCGTTCCCGAACCCTGCTAAAAATGAAAGCTACTCGGCTCCCAAGGACCAATGCGTAGTACGCCTAAATCATATCATTTCACGTATTTGTGGCATCAGCTAAGGTAGACACGTGTGTTGGCTTGACTCATCTCTTAATACATTAAAACATTTGAATGCCTATCAAGATACTAGCCTTATAAACTCACATTTATTTTCTTTCCCCACCATATAGGATATAAGAAAACTTAGCCAACTTGCTAGCTTACCTCTAAAATTTCTAACATTTTAGAGTCGCTTTGGATGAATATAAATAAGATGAATGGTATCACACTATCACTCATGAGCATTGTTTAGTTTTGTAAGTTATAAAGTTTAAGAAGGGTTTACATATCTTTAAAATAGCGAATCAGGCAAATAGAGCTCATGTATAATACATGAAATAAAAACCAATGATTAAATTAGAAGACATAAACATAGTTTAATTACTAGATCCGTTCATTCCATACATACCATCATCCATATCATTCATCTCTTTGATTCTATATTTAATAAAAAACAACCCCCAAATTTTCATATAATCATATCCGATGGTGTTGTAGCTGCAACAAGCGTGAGTAGGCCCCATCAGCGCCACGGCTCAACAATTCCCCATGGCTACCTTGTTCCACAATCCGACCATCTTGAACCACTCCAATATTATCCACGCCTCGTATCGTTGATAACCGGTGGGCCACTAGCACCGTCGTCCGCCCTCTCATCAGCCGTTCAAGTGCTTCCTGAAGCACACACTCCGATTCAGCGTCTAGGGCACTCGTCGCCTCATCTAGTAACAGAATTGTCGGATCTTTCAAAACAGCCCTCGCTATTGCAATCCTCTGTTTTTGCCCTCCGGATAACTGAACCCCTCTTTCACCTACCGGAGTTTTATACCCTTGAGGCAAACCGCTAACGAATACATGAACGTTTGCTGCACGCGCCGCTTCAATCACTTCCGCCTCCGTCGCTCCCTCTTTCCCGTATGCGATGTTTTCCATTATGCTAGCCGCAAATAAGGCCGGCTCTTGTTGGACTAATCCGATTTTCGCACGAAGCGACCGGAGGTTTAACCTTCTGATGTCTTTTCCATCGATCATAACTTTTCCGGCGGTTGGATCGTAGAATCGCTCGATGAGTGCGATTATTGAACTTTTCCCGCAACCACTGGCTCCGACTAACGCTTGGCTCTGGCCTGATCGGATTCTAAGACTCAGATCCTTGAATATAATGACGTCAGGTCTGGAAGGATATGAAAAGTCAACATGACGTAACTCGATTTCGCCTCTAATCGTTTCCAATGGCTCGGAATCTGGATCGTCGGGGTCGATTCTGGTTGACCTATCGAGAACGGAAAACACAGAGCCGATGGCTTCACCGCCTCTGATAATCTCCGGAGCGAGGCTAACCGTTTCCGCTACCGAATTAGCGGTGATGACTAAAACGACAAACACTTTGATGACTTTGGAGAAAGTGGAGACACCGTTTTTAACGAGATGTGCGCCGTACCAGAGGATTAGGGCTTCGGAGGCGAAGAGAGCGAGTTGGGAGACGCCAAACAGGATGCCGGAGATTTGACTCCGGCGAAGGCTTTGCTTCTGTGGGACACGAAGCTCGTCGGAGAATAAGGACAGGATTTTGTCTTGGGCGTTAAAGGCTGCGATGGTTCGAATGTTGCTCACTCCTTCTCCGGCGATCATGCTAGTTTTCGCATGTGCTTTGGCCGTGTCTCCGGCGAAGCCTTTTAGGGAAAGTTGCTGTAAATTACAATTAGTTAAAAGTTAATTATTAAATGAAAAAAAAAAAAAAAAATAAGAGCACCAGGTGTCCCCACATATAGTAAATAAAAAGGGACAGTTCTGGTGGTTATTGAAAAGCGCACAGATGATAAGTTAAATTGAAAGGTGGTCCCGTAAGTGTAATAAGTATAGGACAAAAGGAAACAGATGGTAACAAGTCGTATGTCGCTGTGAAGTGTGAATGGTGACTGGTGAGCATGCTAAAATCCGAAAGACTATTTAAAAACTACAGAGGCAATGGCGTCAGTGATTCAGTACTACAGTACCCGAAAATAGACAAAGAGTCACTGGTGACAGGGTAAATGCAGCCAAAAACTACTCAGGAATGATAGAAGGTGAGTGAATACCATATGGCTTTTCTGACATTTTCATCCTCACTCACACTGAATTGAATTTGTAAATTGAAAACTAGAAGGTGAAGCCAGAGATTTAATTGATGCTGTCATTCATTTATTAGATCACGACTTAAGAATCTCTGGTAACAACTCTGGTCCTATTAACATTTTACAGTCTCCTACAATCTTATTTAATTTAGGTGTTACACTCACTTTGATATATTTTATTTTTAGATTTGAAAGAAATAATAACATTTACCAAAACTCAAATAAAATATTTTTTTAAGAGTAATTTTTACTAAAAAATTAAAATTCCTGACATTACTTCATTTTGTGATAGAATTGAAATCTGATAATTTGGTATCTTTTAAAGGTCGAATTAACTTTTGTTATGGAAGATATAAATGAGGAGAAATTCATGTTGATTGGATGGACAAAGTTCAAGAAAGTTTTGAAGGGCTCAATAAAGAAACTAAAATAAATAAAAGAGTTCGAAATTTTTAACAGGAAATGAAGTTGATTGTCGTGAAAAGAATCTTTTACTAACTTTTTTAATTTTAGGTTTTGTTTGTTAGCAAAATTATTATATTACGAAAAAGATTCAGGTCTGAGCTTCGGGGAAGCATGAATACAGATTACTAATTACTAAATTAGAGTCAGCACGTGTACGACACCAGAACTGTGCCTTCGTTACTATACCATAGTTGTCGTTATTGGAATCAAGATTCGAATGGGTTTTGAAACTTCAAAAACAAGCTCAAAGTAATCTGACAGTTTTTTATGTGAAATCATATAATTAGAGTATATAATTAAGTTAATTTAATTAATAGTACTTAATAGCAGCACGTACGCACCTGAGCAAAATGAGCCAGAACAAGAAGAGGGAAGGTGCCAAGAATAAGAAGCGAAACCCTCCATTCCACTATAAACGCAACTACAAATGACGTCAGGAGTGAAGTCATGTTCTGCAATATAACCGAGATCCTTTCAGCAATGGCTGACTTCACATCTGCAGCATCTGTCGCTAATCGGGCTGCAACTAAACTCGAGTTATGCTCTTCTTCATCGAACCATCCAACTTCATTCCTCAATATCGCTGAAAATCAAATTTTTATTAAAATCAATGTGACAATGTTGTTAATTTATTGAAATTTGAAAAAAGGAAATACCTGCTAACATCATTCGTCTTACTCGTGTAGTGAGATTCTCACCCATGATACTAAAGAAGTAATGTTGGATTAGATACGCTACAACCGCATATAAACCAGCTCCAACGTAGATGAAAACACATTCTTTGGTTTTACTCTCCATTTTATCAGGGTTATCATAGTAAAAAACCTCAATCATATTACTCATAACAATCGCAAATGTGGGACCGATAAATCCCGAAAGCACAGACCCCACAGCACCCATTATAGAATAAGGCCATTCGGGAGCATTCATCTTCAATAGTCTAAAGAAATACCCACTCGGAGCTGGATTTTTTCTATCTGTTTCAGCATTTGATATCATCTCAATACGACCATCCGCACCAGTACTATACTGATAACTCAAATTCCTTAAACTTCCGGATCTGAGACTTAAAGACTTTGTCGACAATGAATGGCTAAGCCGCGTTGACCGTGTCCTACGTGTGGAAGGATTCGAAAAATCCCGATTTCCCGCCATTTCTTGAAACCTGATTAAAGACGCATACGCCCCTGGTTTTGAAATCAGTTCTTCGTGTGTTCCCGTTTCAATAACATGTCCTTGTTGGATGACAGCTATCGAATCAACATTTCTTATGGTGGACAACCGATGTGCGACCACAACGGTTGTCCGCCCGATCATTAACCGGTCGAGAGCTTCCTGTACGATGCTCTCAGAACCGGAATCCAGCGCGCTTGTCGCTTCGTCTAGAAGTAGGATTTTAGGATTTTTTAACATGGCTCTGGCAATAGCAATTCTTTGTTTTTGACCACCAGATAGTTGGATTCCTCTTTCGCCGACTTGAGTGTTGTAGCCGTTAGGAAGAAGGGTGATGAAACTGTGTGCATTCGCTGCTGACGTGGCGGATTCCACGTCAGCCATGGTGGCATCTCGTTTTCCGTAAAGTATGTTTTCAAGTATGGTAGTGGCGAAGAGTGCGGGTTCTTGGTTTACTAAACCAATCTGATCACGTAGCCATTCAAGTTGGAGTGTCTTTATGTCCACATTGTCTAGTAGTATTTGGCCTGTAGTATACCATCATAAAAATTAAAAAATAAGTAAATTATATTTTTGGGGACCATATTGATTGGATAGTAATTGCAAAAAGCCAATTATAGGAACAAAAGTATTCATTTTATTTTAATTTGTAACGTGTACCTAAATCATTACAAAATACTTAAAAAAAGACCAAATTGCAAAAGAAGACCTATTAGGACCCAAAACTGTAAAAATCAATTATATTCAAGGATGAAAAATGTAATTTTAAAAAATAAATGAATTAGGCTTTAATTATTAATATCTACGTACCTTGATTAGGATCGTAAAACCTTTCAATTAAGGAAACAACGGTGCTTTTGCCGGACCCACTACCGCCAACCACCGCAACTGTCTTTCCGGCCGGGAAGAATATGGAGAAGCTTCTAAAGATAATGACATCTGGACGTGAAGGGTAACTAAAAGTTACTTCTTTGAACTCGATATTCCCGTTGACTTCAGTCAAACACTTCCCATATACAGTGTTGTGATGTATAGTGGGTTTTTGCTTAATAATTTCAAACAACTTGTAACCAGCTGCTTTCCCTTTGCTAAATGCTCCAAGATTCGAAAATGACTGACCTAGACTCCTGTTATGATATGATCAAGATCAACCAATATTTTTTAATTAATTTGGTTTGGTAAACATGAGATTAATTAATTAATTAATTAATGATGTAATGTTACAGAATCTTACATTCCACCAACAATGGCAGAGAAAATGGCTGTGAATGCTTTTCCACCGTCGGTTTGTCCGTTTCTTATAAAGACACCTGCATACCAGAAAACAAGTGCCCAAGACATGCAAGCTATTCCATATGTACATCCGAGTCCTAATCCTTTTGCCATTCCAGCCTTATAACCCAGCTTCAATGTGTGTTGTATTGCATCGGAATAGGAATTAAGGGCCTTCGTCTCCCCAACATATGAGTACACAGTTCTAACTTGCGCAATTGCCTGTTGAAATAAAATTAAAAATTAAAAGAAAATTCAAAGACCATGTGTACGTATATGATGAAATTAGTTGTTGATTAATGATTAATCAGTAATCACCACACTACGGAAACAAGAGACCAAAAGTAAGGGGTTAAAGTAAAGAAAGAACCATAAGAGGGAAGGTGTTCCTTATCATTACAACGCATGCTACGTATTGTATGATCACAAAGGGTAGGGGTGAAAAAATCAACTTAAAGTATTCGGTACAAAATCATGATTTATTTTTAGTAAAAAGTAAGAAAAATTAAGAAATTAATTGATGTGAAAAGAGTAGCTTGGGATGACCTCCTCGGCGATGATGCCGGCATTGGCGTAGGATTCACGGCTCTTGGACGTAAGACCGGTGAGAGTATATGCGTATAAGCCACCGGCAAATGCAATTCCCGGTATCACTGCAATGCTGAGTAGAGCTAGCTTCCAAGCAGACACAAAACCGACCACCAATCCAGCCAAAAATGTCGAAAGATAATGGATGAAGTTTCCAACCTAAAATTGATGAGTAAATTGATAGTGAGCATTCAATTTGTGGGCCTAAATTTTAGAGATCTTCAAAGATGCTCTTTGACCGGCGCAGGTTAATCTATGTATGCTAACATGCACGGATGAAACCGGAGAGATCATAAAATGGAGAGATATTGTTATTACCTTCTCGCTAATGGCATCTTGAACAAGGAGAGTGTCTGTTGAAACACCAAAAACGATATCGCCAGTTCTAGCATCTGTATCGTAAAATCCTACGTCCTGTTTCAGAACGGCTTCCAAGTACCTCTTCCTCAACGCACTCACCTGCCTTTCTCCAGTATACATCCAACATCCAATCTCTGTTCATTTTCAATTTTATACAAAATCAGTTAGTTAACTGTTACATCATGTAATTTTAGATGAAAAACTAGTTACGGAATTTAAGACGATGATGGTGATTTGTATTGTTGCGCATTAAAATATGAAGGAGAAATTGACCAAGTGAGAGATGAAAAGAATAGTAGCCACGTGCACCTGATCTGTGGTGAACTGACTTAAAATAAGCATTTGCAAATAATAAATGCTCCAAAACAACTTGCTTATGGAAAATAGAACTTGAAAAAATGAAAACCGAGAGACGATAACGGATCAAATGTAGCGTAACTAACCTGCATATGATGATACGCAGACGACTAGTCCGAGATAAACGAAATACAAAGCATACTGCATTAATTTGGAGGAAACAAAACAATCAGATCTGAATCGATTATGAAATTAAATGAGGAAAAATGCATACAACGATACGCTTCCTCCGTTTCAGATTAGTTGAGGTTTCTCCGTTGATGAAGAAAATCATTTAATAAGAAACGGATGTAGCAATAATGAATCACCTTAGATACTTCATGAGTCATGGTGCTCAAATCAGTTTGGTTTTTGCCGAATCCATTAACCATTTGACCGAACAAGAGGAAGAATACAGGCATGGAAGATCCGTGAACAATGGCACCGATGCTACCGAAGATCATGAGAACGTAATCTAACTTATCTGCAAATGAAAAAAGTTGGTAGAACGGAAGACTCTGCTCTTTCTTCTTCTCCGCCTGTGCCGGCATTGCCTTCACCGTCTCCGCCATTTTACTAAACCGCCAAGGCAGCACGCTCAGTCTCCGGTTGTGTACTGGACTTCTTCAAAAATGAGACAACGAGAATATTGAGAGCAGATCAAACGCCATGAAAGAGTGGTTCAGAGTTGGGTGTGCTGAGTCTGAATGAGACTGGACTTGTGGTCAAACGAGGTGTAGTGTGGAGGGGAGAGGTGAGGTGAGGTTGGTTATATAAAAGAGAAGGGACAGTTTAACCATGGTTTGGTTAAGGGTGTAGTTAAATGACAAAACGGGAATTTCAAAAACTCAGTTTTACTTGTACTATATCGACTTCATTGGTTGTACTGCGACCCAATTCGAACTGATTCATCCCATTTCTCGCCGCGTGCATTTCCCAAACAAAAAGTGCTTCCATTAATCATGTTAGATGCATCCACTGCGTTTGTACTTCATACCAAATTTTCTTAAGCAAGAGCTTTAATCAACTTTTAATAGGGCTAATCACAAAATTATTAAAATGAGAAGTGTGTTATCACCACCTGGTTATCTTTTTAACATGTATATAGAAATGACAATATAATTGAAAATATGGATTTTCTGATTCAGGAAACGAATGATCATCTTTATAATGTATATAATCTAAACATATTTTAATGTTTTGTGACATCTTTTCGCAAACACATGTAAAATTCTCTTTTCCGCATATTTTCATGTAACTTCATGGCAAATGATTTACGCAGCTAAAATTCTCTTGGGTTCTACTTGTAGCTATTCACGTACTAAACCAAATTTGCGATACTTTACATTTTTTTTTTCAAATTATGCTCCGATTAAATTACATGTTTGATAACTGAGGTTGTATGTCCACTTCACCAAACTACTAACTTAGTGACACGATCTTTACTTAGCTATTGTTTCGCGAACTAGGACATTTCACGAAACCATAACCTAATTTCATGGATTGTCTTTTTGATGTCGTTTTAAGTTATATTTTGATTATTGAGCATGTGTGATCAATTTGGTTATATATTTATTTAACTAAGTTGTTAATTTATTGTAATATGGAATTATCTTTCACACGCTAGAAATATTTTGTGAAACTCAAACAAATTTTGCAAAAAAAATATATCACAATTTTCCAAGTTATGTTTTGATTATATAACATATCAAGTCTATATGATTGTATCTTTATTTAACCAAAATATTGGTTTATTAAATATCTACCCACTTGTATATTTGCAAACATGGAACATACAAATCTCTAACGTATTTTGTGAAATGTCTTTTTTTTCGGTTTTCAAGTTTTCTTTATATTAATTACATGTCTCGTTGTTGTACAATTATTCAATATTATTTGCTTTTGCCAATCAAGGTTATTATTACCGGGCAATTGTGACCATTAACGACAATGTAGCCATAACAAAAGTGATCAAGGAGAAATTAAGCGTATCTTAGGTTCTTTTTTAATTGTTTAGGAGCATATGTTATGGTATGTTGTTGAATATCCAAACCACTTTAGAGCCTTTCTCCTAGTTTATTTGATTCTCAGTATCAAGATTTACCATAAAGGCAGAAACACACACTTGACCAATACGGGGATATGGCTTTAGGTTGGAGGTTATAGTATGTGTTTTGGACGATGAGAGTTATGTCTTATCACTCGGTTATGATTCATCATGCTTCTTTCACCATGCATTAGCAAGAGCATGATGGATTCTATAGGTGTGTTGGTGAAGGTCGTTGACTTATCATATGTACTTAAGGGTATGAATTTTGCCGAATCAGTGAATGATAATGTTGTCTGTTTTTGTTTTCTCTTCTTACTAGAGGTAGATTCATAGGTTGTGTAACACCCCTCATACACGACTGATCTTAACAAAAAAAGAAAAGCCTCCATAAAAATATTTTATTTGATTGAAATAAATATATTTTTAATCTAACTGATAATCAGTATTTTTAATCAGTCACAAGCCATAACAAGATACGTATGACTTATGACTTGATCATCTTCACTCGTATATATCTTCAAATATGATCTTTTATCCTTATCTTTCAAGTTGAATGGTCTCATAGGATAAATATATTTTGCTTTGGGCATCTTCAAACAATCTTATACATACTATGATATCCATAACATAACAATACAACACAAGATATCCATTGATGTACACGTTTATACTGTAGGTATGTAGATTCATTAACGAGTCAAAACTCCTTCACGTCTTCGAGAGCGACACGTGAAGGCAAATTAAGGCTAATCACACCACACCCACTCGATTCAATCTTGATATCACACTCATTGCCCTTCTTATCATTATGTGAAGGTTGCATTCCACTTACTACATTAGCATATGATAAATTACATGTACTCTCTTGTTTACCCTCCCCCCCCCCCCTCCCCATCTTACTCGGAGGGTGTCTTTCTTGCTTCTTCCCTTTTGATTGAGAATCCATCTTCATGTCTTTGTGTTCGAACCTAGCATTTGTCATGAAAATATTATAGTTCCTCATCTATACGGAAAACAATTTTTGTGTTAAAGCATGCACCCATTCTACTCGAAGAAACCTTACGAAATTGAACATTGTCCTAAGTCAACAATTGCCGCTCTTTTCATTGCATGTTATATTATGACTTTTAGTAAATTAGGAACTCAAAACATAGTTAGACAAAATAATCGGATACAGATTTTTTTAAATATATTGAAACAAAAAAACATTTCATGGAAACATATGTGCAATTTGGTACTTTGTTAATCAATATTATACAGAAAATGTAATATTATTTTCACTAAGTTGCATTCTCGTTTATTTTATTACTAGATAACAATATTATTTTATTACATAGTTTTTCGTGCACTTTCTCCACTCCTCCAAATTCTACTAGCAAGTACATGTAAAGCACGAGCCTCAATCATCATTCAAAGGTAATAAGTCTTGTCTGAGTTTTTTTTACAAGAATGTGTATTTCTATGATTACCACATATTAATTTGTGTATCTTGATTTAGCTTTCGTTTTTTTGTTTTACAATTTAATGGCTTAGTATATGTGTTGTATATTTATATCACTATATCAGTCATTCATTGGTTAGTAAACATCATTGCCTTCACTTCATGTTTTGTCGACATAATAAAGTGGTATCCCCCCATTTTTCGCTAAGAAACATGGATTGTTGGCCTGGTGCATTAGTTTTGAATTATACGCATTGAGCCCTTTAACAATTATCTGCCACATGTCAATATTTTTGACCATGAACACATTCGTTTTCATACCAAGATATATTTATATTATTATCAAGAGACTATAGATACATGTTTGAGTACGTTAAACGGATGAAATGAATGAAATCCTATTTATAACAACTTCAATGAAATATGTTAACTTTGTGTTAGCAGTTGTTTCTTTTTTATTTAATAAATTTAAAGAATTAAATATTTAATCTGGACAACTATATATTGTTGTTCCCATTTTGACTTAATTTGGACCGGATGTTAATGAATTGAGCTAGAAAACTTGACTTAATGTATCAAAACGTTAACCATTTACTTAGTGCTCTTCTTATTTCTTTCACTCAACTCCTCTCGTATTAAAATTAATGAATATTGTTAAAATAGACAACTATAAGAGTGAAATGATCATTAGTATCAAATCTAGAGGGAAAAAAAACTTATCTATATAACACTTTATTCAGACACATTCAATTATTCAATTAGCCTGGTACTAAACTTTAATTAATTAATATACTAAAAGGCCATCCAAGACGGTATCTTAAAATATCATTAGAAATATAGTATACGATACAATAAAAATATATAAGATACAATCAACAATCGTACAAATAAATATTAAACCTGACATGCACCAACAGGCAAGTGGGTGTTGATCAGGCCCAAGAATGGACTGGGCTAGACAAATTTTCTCGCTCCGTCATTTTTCATCTATTTCCTAAAGTTTTCATGATAATATGTCGAGTTAAATTAAATGATATATTTTATAAAGTTTATAATACAGTAAAAATAAGAAAAAAAATACAAATAAGCCACATGTTTTTATGGGAAGCGTACAAATAAAATAGAAAGAAATGACTTTGGAGTTGTTCATTGAAAGTAGTTTAATAAAAGCAAAGCACCTACTCATCATTAAGTTGATGTCCAACTTCACCTTTTGACACTTAATGTGTGCTTTCCATGTTCCAAGGCAGCTTCTAATGTTAAAATATCTTATTTGGAGTAGTTTATAAAAATATTGAAGGTATGTTTAGCACATAGTTTTTAAAAGTTTTGGAAATTTATATCTTTTAACTTTTCTAAAAAATAAATTGAATTTTTTTTTCATTTAAACAGTAACAACTTTTAATTTTTATTTTAAATAAAAAGATATAAATCCAAAAGGGGGGGGGGGGGATTCTTCGTCGTTTGTCGTAGTCGGTTGATGTGAGGAGGACGATGAACCACGACCAATCACATGTGAGGGTTAGTTTTAATATTGACTATCCGTTTGAACGTCAAAAATGTTTTTTTTTCTTTTACCTATAAATACAATCTTATATCATCATATTTTCAAACTATTCTTCTCTTTTATACTCTCTAGAATATCACATAGATTGATTTTTTACAAATTTTGAATCGGATGATGATGGGGAGTTTATCACAATATTTTTTAATGTTGTGCAAAACATAAATGATGAAGAACATACAAATGTTACACATACAAGAACGTTTGTCAATCGAGATTGTCAAGCCGCACATGCACTTTTGGTACATGATTATTTTGCCGATATTTGTCTTTATAATGATGACGCATTCAAATGTCATTTTTGTCTTCATATGGTATTATTTTTACGTATTAGTAGTGTTTTAGTCTTTTAGAGGTGTGATATGAATATTTCAAACAAAGACAATTCGTTATAGATAGAATGGGCTTTAGTGTTATGCAGAAGTATGTGACTGCATTTAGATATTTAAGATACGATATAACATTTGATACAACATACGAGTACTTAAAGTATCTGAGATGACCGCAAATGAGTTTGTAGATCATTTTTGTGCATGTGTTTATGACGTTTTTTCACAAAGAATATTTGTGCAAACCTACCATATGTGCTATTAAGAGATTGTATTATGCACATGAAGAGAGACATGAATTTCCAGGAATGATCGATAGTCTTGATTGTATGCATCCGACATAGGAAAACTATCAAAA